CGGAGACGGGGCAGAGCGAGCAGGCCTGAAAGCATATCAGCCGCGCGAGATTCATCAACCTCGCAGCAGAGGAGCTGCGGCAAAGTTGGCGTAGGTTTCCGTCAACCGAGCAGCAGAGCAGCGAGGCGGGATTCGTCAGCCGCCAGTGAATTTCATGGGCCGGAGCCGCCGGGGACTAGCAGAGCAAATTAGGGATTAGGGTGTTGCTCTCGGCGACTGTTTGCGAGAGTGGGGGTAATTTTGTCTGTTTGCTTAAATTAGGGCGATAAATTTAAAAAGTTAGGGCGTTAAATAGGAATCCAGATTAAAATAAGTACTTGACCGGTGGTGGTGTGCTGGTGGCGAGTATGATCGGCTCGCATGCCCTGAAACTCTGCAACTAACCCGCCCAATTGCGTACTTCTCCTTGTCGCATTCTGTACAGTAATAAAAAGGCGTAGGAAAAAAGGATAAGAGAGTAAAATATAGGGAGTGAATTAGAAACCTAAAATCATAAAAGTAGCGCAAGCCGGCAGCCAGGGTTTCGTTATTGCTTCTGTCTTCGCTTTATCTGACTCTTCCCATGTGGCGGGTCAGTCAGTGGCTTCCCTGGCCCACCACCAGTCCACCACCAAAACTCAATATTTCCTACCTCATCCCCCTACTTCTCCACAATTGCATTTTCATCCCTTCCCTCAAATACTCATATACCCGCCATTTTATCGTTTTTATTTTTAAATTTTTTTGCTCCGGCTTCGGTTTCCGTGAAAGTAATTCCCTTCCTTTCCGTCCTCTCTCCCCAAACATTCCTTAACTGCAGAATTTCAAATTACTTTCTAATCGCAAACAATTAATTAAACGGGGTTTCAGTTTTCTGGATTCATCTAATCTAGCCTCGCCGTGATTATTGTTTGTGGTGGTGATTAATTAGTAATCCTACTAAAGTAAAATAGTGCTGTCTTTCTGCGTTCATATATTATTAGGAAATTAATCTCACGTTAACCCCTCCCGCCCTTATTAACGGTTCCACGTGTACCCTTATCCTCCCTTCCACGTCACACTTCCCTGTCCTCTTCCCCTTCTCTAATCCTTCCCTCCTTTTCCCCACCCTCTCTCTCTCTCCAGTCTCTTTCTGCAGTAGCTAAAGTAACCAAAACCTTCCTCTCCCCCTATTTCTAGGGTTCCATTTCCCTCTTTACAATTTTTTCCTCCCACCATCACCACCACCAAACCTCTGGTTTCGCTTGAAGGCAGCCCGAGCTTTTTCTTCCATTTCCCTCCTAAAACCCTAACGATGGGGTCGATCCCCGATCCAGGCGAGGTCGCCGCCGACCTAACTCCTCAGCCGCCGCCGAGCTTCGACGACTTTCAGCGCCAGACGTCGCTCATGACCAGCTGCACTCTCCTCTGGAAGGAGCTCTCCGACCACTTCACTACTCTCGAGCAGAACCTCCAGAAGAAGTCCGATGCCTTGAAGCGCAAAATCCAGGCCCTCGACACCGACACCAAGGCCTCTCTGGCTTCAATAAAAAAACGGGAGGTCACAATCGACGGCAGCCTCGAGATCGCCCTCGAGCGCCTCGATGACCGCTGTGAGGCTGCTCTCAAGTCGATTGACTCCGATCGAGACGACGGGGAGGTCGACGACGGCGACGGTCTTCTCCTTGCTCTCAAGGCGTTCTGCTTGAAGATGAGGTCCAGGGAGTTCTGGAAGTTCGTGATCACCAAGAAGAAGGAGCTTGACGCGCTGAGGAGCCAGATACCGATGGCGCTGGGTGAGTGCGTGGATCCTCCTAGGTTTGTGCTGGAGGCAATTTCGGAGGTTTTCCCCGTGGACAGGAGAGGGGAGAGGAGCGAGAAGGGGAATGATTTGGGATGGGCTTGTGTTGTGATTCTCGAGAGCTTGATTCCCGTGGTGATGGACCCTGTGATTGGGAAGTCGAGGCTGATGGTGACGCCGACGGTGAAGAAGAGGGCTAGCGAGATTGCGGAGACGTGGAAGAGGAGCTTGGAGGAGCGCGGCGGGATTGAGAATGTGAAGACGCCCGATGTTCATACTTTCTTGCAGCATTTGGTCACTTTTGGGATTGTGAAGAGGGAGGACTTCGATTTGTACAGGAAGCTTGTGGTTGGTTCGGCCTGGCGCAAGCAGATGCCTAAGCTTGCTGTCTCTCTTGGCTTGGGTGGTGAAATGCCTGGTACTACTTTTTCCAGTCTTAGTTGTCATTGCTATACTTGCTTTCTTGAGCTCTGTTCTGTTCAGTTCCTCAATAAGCTGAGTGTTAATCCATTAGTTGGGAAGTTTTCACTGGGGTTCCATTGCTGCCTTGTTGTTATTACCTGTTATTGCTGAGAATGTGAGACAGGCTCATCGTTGATGCTTGTTTACCCAGCCATATTGTGATGATGGGCCTGGAATATGGGGAATATGTTTCTTATTACGACGGGCTAGAATGGTTGTTTTGGTTACTAGGCTGATGTGAGCAGGATGCGCTGAAAAATGCCCTGTTTTTTTACTGTTATACAGAATGGTTCAAGAAATTGATCCATTTGCAATTTCTTTATGGTTCATTGCAGTGTATGGTTCTTGGGAGGATTGTTGAAATGTGGTAGGGTGCGGTGTTTGTCTCTTTTCGATTGTACTGAGTTGCTTTTATCAATTGCAGATATGATCAAAGAACTGATTGGTAGGGGTCAGCAACTGGATGCAGTGCATTTTACTTACGAGGTCGGCCTGGTCAACAAGTTCCCCCCAGTACCCTTGTTGAAGGCCTTTCTAAGGGACGCAAAGAAGGCTGCGGCTTCTATAATGGAAGACCCTGATAATCCTGGAAGGGCTACGGTATTTCCTGACACTCGCATCTTCTTCTAGTTGTTGGTTCTTGTTTTCTCTCCAGTCGCTACATTAATTTTCAGTTATGATAGAATCCTGAAATCAGCTTATCAAGAAGTTACATTACTCTTTTTTGAAATATGAGTAGTTCAAAAGAGCTTGTTGTTGAGCCCTTGAAAGTGGATTAACAATTGGCTGCTACACTCTCGTTCATTTTGGACTAGCCTGAAGTACAATACATTGCTTAAATGGTGAAGCATGAATGTTTTGGTTATAGTACTGCTTTGCCCTCTTTTATCTTTTGTCATGTGATGAGCAGCTGGAACCAACACCACTTTACATTATTTGCTTGGCTAGTATGACCTGTAAATAACACTGCTGTAACTAATTTCTTCCAACCTGGCCTTAGAAGTTCTGTTCCCTGAAGCTGTTTATTCTTTTGTGTGATTCTTGATTTTTTTAATCTTCTAACTCTATTGGATATCCCCTCTTTTGTCTTCTTTTTCACGTCTGCTTTCTCATGCTTGAAGGTTTCCTGCATTTGATGAGCAGTTGGGCTAATTATTAATCATGTGTAAGTATCATTGATCTCTGCCTCCTTTGCATTACCTATTTTGCAGCAACTTGCTGTGAGGAAGGAACAGTCAGCACTCCGTGCTGTCATCAAGTGCATCGAGGAATACAAACTAGAGTCCGAGTTCCCACCAGAGAACCTCAAGAAACGCCTCGAACAGCTGGAGAAGGTGAAGACGGAGAAGAAGAAGCCGCTGCCAGCTGCCATCCCTGCCAACAAGCGAACGCGTGCCAACACCGCTGTTCCAATGCCACCAGCCAAGGCCGGGCGTCTGACCAATGCCTATGTATCATCTTTCCCCTCACAGCCGCCAACATTTGTCAGGTCGCCTTCACACCACCCGCAGCAGTACCCAGCTGCCGGCATCCCAGCATACGCATCTCCGCCACCACCACCAACGGTCTATGGCACCCCGAGCCCTCCATCCCCATACGCTGCCTACTCCCCTGAAGCAGTCCACCACCCGATTCCCGGATCATACACTTTGAATTATATGCCACCACCACCGGCAGCATATGGAGGATATCCGAGTGGGTTCGCACAAGCTTATCATCAGCAGGCTTACTACTGAATAGACATCATCATGACTAGGTCTCTTCATTGAAGAAGATGGTAACCCACTGATAATATGATGACTCTCTTCACCATCCGCCACTCCCTGCTCGCGTTCCTGCTTATTATATCCCTTTCCTTCTGGTTCTTTCTTCTTCCTGCTAAACTTGGATGGTTTGTGTGTAATAGCTAACTGTTTTAATCTTAGCTATCAGCCCCCTCCCTCCCTCTTGTGTGTTTAATTATAACTGTTGCCTCTGGTGCACTTACTTTTCTCCCATGGTGACAAGTTGTATTTCTAATGAAACTCTAGCTTTAGGTTTCTTGTGCAAAGTAATCTTCCATCTTCATAACTTGCACTGCACCCATCTCTCTGTTTTCTTATGTCTGATGGGACTCCATTGGGAGGAGAAAAGAGGAATGTAATGTAAAGTCTGCATCCGAGAAAGCATGTGGCTAAGGCTGGCTGCTGGATGGGAACGAAAGCAGGCTTGAAATTCAAAGGCTGGTTGGTTTGGCAGCTTTAGCATGCTGGTGAATACTTTTTTCATTTTAAAGGCACTGATTGCTTTTTTTGACGGAGTAACTTCAAGTTAAAGATAAGATCTTTTGTCTGTGGGAGACATGTTTTCCAGATCTCTGTTTCTCCACCGACCAGCAGATTCCCAGAATTTGATGAATAATTGAACCATATGTTTGTCTGGTCAGTGGTCACGGTCAAGGTATATGCCATTATGAGACCACGCAGGACGCAGCCAACGACTACAGTTTTGGGCCTATAATCCCCGATGTCCATGGACTGTCAAGTGTCAACACTGGGCCTCCATTTCCAATGCTTGAGGTGCTTGGCCCATATTGTGTGTGTACTTAATTCCTTATAATCTAGGCCGCGATATCCTGGCCTATTTCTCTGAACACACATGCCACAGCCACAGGGGCGAGATAGAGCGTGGAATCGCGGTTAGTGGATTGTCAGATTGCACACCAAGTGTTTGATCATTTGCCTGTGAGAGGACGGGTAAGGCGGTTGCGTTCCCGCTTCAGTCTAACCGGCTGTATATTATGGCGACATTGTCATTGAGACGAGCTTGCTTCCGCTTCCAACCGAGAGTCTATAATTTCTGCTCCAAGACTTCCTCAATCGGCGACGGTGCGGCTGGGTGGACCAGAGAAGCACCGGCTGAGAGACGTCATTCGATCCCGAGTAGCAACATTTGCCTTTCTCATTTGTTCAGGGATCCTACCGACCACTTGGATCGATGCGAAATCGAGCTCGTGGACGATGATGCCTGGCAGGTATCCTCGGGGATAGCCCATGCGTTTCGAGGATTAGGTACGAAACGGGAACCACGTAGTGTGAGTGAAGCAACTGATGACCAGGTGAAAGAAGGCTCATCCACATCTTCCCTGGATGACCCTGATTTTGATGAGATTGATAACATGAGAATCCGGGGGAATCTGTTCTACAAGCTTGATCGGGACTCCAAAGAGTATCAGGAGTACAGCTTTGAATTCCACCGAAGGAAGAAGAAATGTGATGACCCTCGAGAGAGCCGAAAGAAAGAATCTTCAACGAAGAATGAACAACCCAAGGAAAAGGAAGGCAAAAAGAACGAAGATTCATCGCCTGTGGAAGCGAAAAGAACAACATTAATTGCTAAGAACGGCAAGGCTTATACTTTGATGAATGATGTTTCTGGCAGTGTGGCGGAGGAGATGAGGAAGAAGGTTAGGACTCTGACGTTCAATCAGCTCACAGCTCCTTACCACGAGCCGTTCTGCCTGGACATTCACATATCAAACGCATCGGCTCGGGCATCCGTCATTCACCGAGGTACTAGTAAAGTGGTGGCTGTGGCACATTCGATATCGAAAGACATCAAATTCGACATGGGTTCCACCAGAAATGAAGCCACTTGCCGTGCTGTTGGGCAGATTCTGGCTCAGAGAGCACTGGAGGATGACATCCACAACGTGGTCTACACTCCCAGAAGAGGGGAGAGATTGGAAGGGAAGCTTCAGATTGTGCTTCAATCCATTATAGACAGTGGTCTTTCTGTGAAAGTAAAACTCAAGCAAAGGAAACACAAGAAGAAGCTTAGCCTCCCACAATGATTCCACCTCTCATAACATCCGCACATTGTGTAAAACCAGGTTACAACTTTCTTCCTTATGTTTGCCAATGAAGAAATGTGTGCTCAAAGAAGTTCTGATACAGGGGATACACAGAAGCGAGTAATGTAAAATCTCCCACTGCATTCTCAAAATTCTCAAACACAGAGTTTACTACCCAGTTACAGCAAAACACAGCAATCCAATCCAGCGAGATAGAAGAGATTACACATTCAACCAGACAACCACAATGTTCAACAAATTTCACTCTCAGTCATTAGCCGTTGCGAGCTGCAGCGCCAGCAAATCTTCTTCGGGAATGGTTCTAATGTGGCAATCCGAAGTCGGGTATGCGGCACAGAGCAACGCGTAGCCGCGCTCCACCACGTCGTCACTGAGCATGCCGTCACTCTGATCGACTGAGCCGCTGACTATCTTCGCAGGGCAAGTCATGCACACTCCGAGCTTGCAGTCATGAGGCACGGATAAACCGGAGTCCAGTGCCTTGGATAGTATGGTCTCGTCTGGCTCGACTTCAAGCTCCGTGGACTCGCCCTGATGTTCAATCACCACTTTGTATGATCGAACCGCGACGGATTTGAAGGATCTCTCAGGTCTGTAGTTGAATCCAGAAGAAGGGAATTTGCTGCTGAGGTTTGGTTTGGTGGGAGGGAGCAGAGGAGATGGAGCGAAGTGGAGGGTGTGCGTAGCCATGGCCGAGGTGGGGAAAAGAGGTTTTCTGGCTGGTGCAGATTTGTGGCCTGCATTTGATAAGAGATAAGGCTATCTCTGGAACGAAGCCTGCAATTGTGAGGGTGGAATGGTTCAAAACCTAAAGTTGAGGACTGTCTGGGCAAAGTTGGGAAAGTTATAGGAGTTGAGTCAGCCAGCCTTGATGCGCCGACGGAGTTTATACATATAGTTTAGCGCAGCGGTGACAACAAAATAATATAGTGAGTGTATTTAAGACTCTTCAAACTTCTTATAAATACGGGGTTTTTTCTAAAATATTGTATTTTTAAAAAATATCATCCAAAATACTACATATGCAAAAATATTTCCAAATCTACTTTCTATAAAAGCAAATTGGGCCGTGCATACCCTAATTCGTTTAAAAAACTACCAATAATCCTAATTAAAGTGCACACGCCCAATTCAATTCAAAGTACCATTAAAACCCAATTGGTGTGAGAATAAGCTGAATTGAGGCGCGGGCGCCCCAATTGGGCTTATTCCCGCATCAATTGGTCTCTCTCCTTGTCGTTGAATGCGATGAAAGAAGGTGGAGCTACATGTGGTGGCATGCTATGCATGGATGGGTTGGGTGAGGGTTTTCTTTTGACAACCCGCCTCTTTTGGGTTGAGTTTGGATTTTGGATTACACAACCCGTAGAACCCGACCCAACCCGTGTTCCAATTATTGGTATGAGTTCGTATCCAAAAAAATATTTATGTCGTATATAGTCGTACTTATGAGAAAATTAAGATATTTCGCCATATTTTTCTCTTAAAGTCTCACTAATCTAATGCATTCTTCGACTTAAAGTTTAGACATATATTTAATATAGCTATGATTCACGTATTTTTTTTTCTTGTGTACAATTTTAAAAGAATATCATATTATGGATGCGTTCATTTGTAACCTTTTTAGCCTATTTCAACAAATGTCGTGAAAAAAACTAGACATAAGTTGAAGTAAATCAAGTTTTATTAAAATTAAATTAATATTTGTGAATTTTGATACTTTTCACCTCGGTTTATTCGTTTGAATTTTTAATTTGTTATAAAATATTTTTATGATGTAGAATAATTACATATTTTGTGTTGGGTCGGGTTTTTACTTAAAAATATCGCCAACCCGACCCAACCCAATTAGAAACAAACCGTAGGGTTTATATTTTTTTGGGTGGGTTTGGGTTTAATATTTCCCAAACCGTAGTGCATGGGTCGGGTAATTAAAATGCCTAAACCCGAACCACCCGACCCATGTACACCCCTAACTCCAATTCCAATTTCCAAAATTCAAACTGTCTAAACTCTAAACAAATAAAAAAGGATCAAGGCATCCAAATGATGCATAGTTGCATACAATACCATTTCCAAATCCGAATAGCCAATCGAAACAAACAAGTTCTTGAACTTCAATCCAAGCAATGAAACAAAGTAACAAACCACCAGTCCACCAAAAACATAAAGAAAAACTTAAAGGAAATGAGCCATCAAGGCATCAAGGTCACCTTCATTCTTCAGGGCATTACCATCAAGCTCAACATTCAACAACAACAACTCTCTAGCAGGCAATAGCAGCAACAACAAGCTTGATGCAGCACCAACTCTCCAGTAGGTAGCAGCAGCAACAAGCACTCAACAGCAACCACATGCTTGATCTTCAAGCATCAAAGTACAGGAGTGCGCGATCTTGAAAATATGTGAAATCGCACAAATTATCAGCAGGTAGCAGCAATCACTATCTTGAAATTACTGAGCTAATTGTTCAATATTCACTAACTTCCTTTCTTAAAGTCTTCACAATTTGGATCCTCCATTGTCAACACGGAGAACCAGCTTCCCAATCCGTTAATCCCATCCATTCCAGCATCTGCAGACAAAAGAAAGGAGAACTGAGTTAGTTAATTTCACAATGTAGTTGAACCACAAACAGAGCGGGAAACAATTAAATAAATTCCTTACCTTTACTAATACCATCCTTAATCCAGGTACGGGTGCACATGATTGCCTCAACAGTTTCAAAGTGCAGCCTACTCCGGTGAGGATCTAGCAGCCTACTACTAGAGCTGAAGGCTGACTCTGAGGCCACAGAAGTCACTGGTATAACAAGCAAATCTCTTGCTACCTCTTTCAACAGAGGGTATTTTCCAGCATTCACCCTCCACCAATCCAAAACACCAACATTAGGAGCTCGAGGACTGACACCCTCACTTAGATAATCGTCCAAATCAGAGCACAGTGAAGTTGTTTTGGACCTTTTCTTTCGGCTTAGATAAAGCTCAAAGCCAAGGTCGCTCGAGGTAGGAACATCAAGACCATTACCAGAACCAGAGGAGGCAGAAAGATCATCCGTAGCCCTCTGTATCAACTGATACTCACGGACCACATTATAAACAGTGGCCTTAACAGTCTTAGGGTGAAGAGTAGAATCAAGGCTTTGAAACTTTTCATAATAGTACCCAATCAACTCAAGCTTGTATGCAGATCAAGAACAACAGCTACAATCAACAACACATGAATATCAGTCCAGTATTTGTTGAACTTGATCCACATTCAGTTCAAAATTCAAGTCACAGATGTTTGGAAAGAACAAAATAACTGTAGGATAATTGATTCTAGAAAACAGATCAGAAAGTTTTTTGAAAACCTCAAGTTTTTTGGAGATAATAGTGGCAAACTTCCAATCATCACTGCTAGGCAAGGAAATATAGTTAGGTTCTCTCTGACTCAAAAGAGTGAACACATCCTTGTATGGAATTGCAGATTCAAACATAGTGAGTGTGGAATTCCACCTAGTAGGGCAGTCTAGTGCAAGTTTGGTAGAAATACCAACATCTTTTTGCTTAGCAGTCTCATCAAAGAACTCAACTCTCCTTGGAGTTGCAGTCCAATATACCACACTTTCCCTAATCTTTTCAATCTCATCTTTGATAATTTCAAGACCATCTTTCACAATTACGTTGAGAATATGAACAAAGCATATCATTTGCAGCAATGAAGCATTCATTATGAAGTCAGAAAGAACCATCTTTCTCTTAATCTTATCAATCATGGCATCATTTGTAGAACAATTGTCAAGAGTGATAGTGGATAACTTACAATCCACATTCCAGGACACGAGGGCCTCTCAAAGCACACTTACTAGTTTCTCACTAGTATGAGGAGCATGAACATAGCGAAACCTATGATACACAACATCAAACAAGAGGCAGTCCAAAATAATTAGTTAGTGGTTAAAGACATAAGCAACAAAACTGAAAGTACAAAATTGAAAGAGTCAAGCAACCATATACCTTAGCAAATGGCTCCTAAGGTTCCACTGATTGTCAACATAATGAGCAGTTACAGCTATGTAAGCCCTCTTCTGATTACCTGATGTCCACATGTCAGTGACACTGTGACAACCATTCGACCTTTGTTACCATCAATCAACTTTTGCATCTTTTTAATCTCAATTTCATACATTGCAAGAATATCACTCTTACAAGTGTTTCTACAAGGGACTTTGAACAAGGGTTACAGAGAATTACAAGTGATCCACCATACCAAGTGGATACTCATGCACCAAAATCATAGTGACAAGTTCCTTCCTAGAAACCTCTTCATTAAACTGACCCGTACAGATTTCTTTCCTCCCAAAAAACACCATTTGGAAGGAAATTAGTGGCAAATATTTTTCTGATGGCCATCATGAATATGTTTTTGAACACACACTTTTTTATGATTCCTCAAATGAGAGGTACCATTGCTAGTAGGGTTGGAAGTTTGGTACCAGTATTTGGGATATACTGAATACCGTACCGAATTTATCACTATTTGCTATTACCGAATACCAGTTTATTTTTTAGGGATTGGATTGAGATTCATTTTGGAGTGCTATTCGTTATTTGGGATTACGGGATTGGGATCGGTATATACCGATATACCGAGAAATACCGAAAATTAAAAATTAATTAAATATAGCACACAACCTTTTGTCATTTCTCACTCTTTCACAACTTAAAAGCCTCATCCAACTCAATTTTGACTTTCCAATTTAAGTCACTCTCGTCTCTCACTTAATCTCTTTTTATTTTCATAACACCAAAAAACAAACACTAGTATTAGTCGTCTCTCAGCCTCCAATTCGTCAAATTAAAGATTACCAATGACAATAATTTGAGATGTCACCTCTCCTCCATTCTCCTTATCCATATCCTAGATATAGGCACTCAAGACTCTTTGCTTAGTCTCTTTGCCCTAAATTAAACTATCAAATCTAATTTATATATTTAATTATTAATTATAAGGGTAATTAATTTCGTATTCAATAATACCGATTGAGATATCGCAATACCGATTAGGATAACAAAAAATTTAGGGATTGGAATTGGGATACCGAAATTATTTAGTGATTGAGATTGGGATTGACTTTAGGGTGTAATTCTGTATTCGAGATGTTGGTATTTGGTATTGGGATACCGATACCATACCGATTTCCACCCCTAATTGCTAGTACACCACCAAGAACCTTGCGGCAATACTTGCACCTAGCTTTCATCACACCAGTCTTATCAACAAACCTAGTAAAGTGAGGCCAAACATCGCTTTTTAGTGGACGTTTGGCCCCAAATGGAAGGGAAGAAGGCTCACCATCATTGACTGGTGCATCACCAGCAACAGTCACTAAATTACCATCATTCACAACAGTTGCTGGTCCATCACCAACATTCATAGGATGCTGTTGTTGGAGTTCAGGGTTGATGTGTGGGGGTGTGGATTGAGAGTCGGGAGTTACCGAATTCAACATCTTCCATTGCCTCACATGTTCATCAATCAGGAAAAAGCAAACCAATCAAGGCTAAAACAACTGAAACTAAGAACTAATGACTAATACTAATAAGACTCCAGACTGTAGAATCGAGTAAATTACCTTTGTAAATAGTGAATGATCAATGAAACAGGGCAGTCAGTAACCTTGCAACCCTACAAAAATAACGAAACAGGAGATGAGTTAAACATGCAACCATCACTCGAAATTTCGCAAATCCACAGAGTAAGGCTACAAGAAGACTTACGGCTTGTGCTCCTTGTAGTTGCAGTTGCAGTGACTGGAAATCTACTTTGAATTTTGAATTTTTAAATATTTGTTGTTCCAGTTTGAACAATTGAGCCTCTTAATCAGGAAAGAGAGAAAAGATTTGGGTAAATACAATATATTAGTCACAACTATTAAGAAGCGAGAAATTATAGCCACAACTATCTAAATATAAATTATTAGCCACAGCTATTAAGATTTGGGTAAATACCAGTGTTGTCAAAACCGGACCGGACTGCAAACCGGAGTAATGAGAGGTTTAAGGTTTATCGGATAATCGTTGATTAACCAGTATAAAACCGGTGGCAAAACCGGTAATACAAAATTTTAAATCATAAGAATTATTGGTCATTTCCAAGTTAGAAATGGCCTTTTCGTTTCTCAACACAGCTTAAGCTATTCTCATCTTACCAAATGTAAGATAGCCTAACGATAAAGCTGCCGCGATAGTGAAGGGTTGGGAGTTCCATATCCCAGGTTTGAATCCAAGCAAGGCCCGACAGTGTTCCCGAAAATACAAGGCTGCTGGGGGCGAAGCCCCGTTGGCGTCGAATTTGATTGCAGGTGGCCCCCCAGGTTTAGAGGACCCGCTGTCACAAAATGGCATGTAGGGCTGAGGTTTATGGATAATAAAAAAAACTATTCTCATCTTTTAACTTAATTGGGCCTTTTTATTCGTTAACCCATTTTCCAATAAATATGAAAGATGATTAGAAGTCCAAATTTTGTTCATTTCCTTATTTCTTCCTCGCAACTCTCTTCTCTTCTCTGTTTCTCCTTGGGACCTTATGTCTCTAGGTCAAAATCCCTTTCTAATTAAATGGGGTTAACTGCAAGGTTGATCACTGAGATTGCTAAAAACGTTCATGTTTGGTCACTAAAAATATTTAATTTCGTTCGTAGTCACTATAATTAATTAAAACGTTCAAGTTTAGTCACTTTCTGTTAACTTCCGTTAGTCTCCGTTAACGACGTTTGTTTTTTGATGACGTGGCTAACAGAATAGCCTAATCAGCCTAAATCAACCCGCCATGTCATCAGTACTTGCCGTCATTAAAAAAACACAATACAATTAAATTAAAAGAAAACAAAAAAACAAAATAGTGTTTCTGGATCTCTTCCTTCCACCGTCGTCCTCAATCGTCATCTTCATCCCATCGTTTCATCTTTGTTAAACCAATCTTCAAGAGCGCATAGAGGATGCAAACCCTGCCATCCCATAGAACAACTACACAATTGCTTCCGGGAACTGATAAAAACGTACATCGTCAATCAACAAACACTCCCTGAGATTACCTTGCCACATTATCATTCTATAACTCTATGAAGACCTTGCAATTTTAGGCCCCACCATCCGATAAATAGCTTTGGTTCCGTGGTGAATACCTCCCTCCTGCACTAGAGGACGAGTTGAGATTTGCTGCTTCGTGAGTATTGGCTGACCAAAGAGGAAGAATTGCTTCTCTATCTTGAGAAGACGAAGAAGGAGACAAAGGCTTTTCAGGGCTTGAACAAACCCCTTCATCCTCTTCATCGCATACCTCCTCTGTTCTGATTTTCTCTCATCGGTCTCCTCCATCTGGATTAATGATGATGGCGAGGGTTCCAATGGACTCTAGGGGGAGGAGGCGAGCCGTCGACCTCGTCGCAACCGCCGGGTCGGTTGCCGATGACCAGACTTGGCCAACAACGATTCCAAATTAGGTGGCAATTTTGGGGGATTTGGTCTCCAAGGAAGGAACGATGAGAAGGCGGTTGAGGCGGCGGCCTTTAGGCAACGAAGATGAAGTTTTATGTGGGTTATTGTTCTAGGGTTTTCGGTGAGGGAGAGAGTGAAATAGTGAGATTGATTTAGGAGAGGGTTTCATATTGAAATTCTAGGAAGACAGGAGGGAAGGGCAGATCGGCGGAGGATAGAAAGAGAAGAGGGACGGAGTTTTCGATTGAGAGTGACGGTAGGCTCGCGTCTGTGGTCAGGCGGTGACCGACCTTTTGTTCAGCGGGAGGTGGAGAAGAAAAGGGAGTGGGTTAGGTGGGATAGGGTTGGGACGGGTCAAAGTTTGTTTCATTTTTCATGATGTGGCGGGTTGTGATGACATGGCGGGTCGGGTTAACTTAGGCTGATTAGGCTAATCTGTTAGCCACGTCAGCACAAAACTAACGTCGTTAACGGGGTCTAACGAAAGTTAACGGAGAGTGACTAAACTTGAACGTTT